AAAAAAAAATACACAGTATAATTTATTTTCAAATATTTTACACTGTAGAAAACAATATCTTTTTCATGTAAATATTGTACTGTTATTTTAGGATCTTGGAGTGAAAATATATTGGAATATTTTCTGAGAAATAACCAGATTACAACAGAAGATGGCGCTGAGATCATCTGGTATCATGCAGCTAATCACAAAGCACAAATGAATGAAGCGCTGAAAAGTAAGTCAGTGTAGTTACTTGTTATTTACTTTGGATAATAGATTAATACAACTCCTTTTTGATATCTAGGCATATTTACAGGTGCAAGAGACTTAGGTGATCCAAATGTAAGTTCTAGGCTGACAGAAACTATTTTAAATTTCAGATTAATATGAAGGTACAAATGATTAAGTTATAATGTTTGCATTTGTTAGGTCAGGTCCCTGTTGTAGTTGTATCCTGCACCAAGGAGGTGTGCCATATACCCTTACATTGTGCCCATTAGGTGAGAGACGCTGATCCTCTCTCCTGTACTCCCCTCCCTGCCCTCCCCCCCAAAGAAACGTTTTTATGAAGTATTTCATTTTGTTTACAAAATGGGAACAAACTGCATAATGCAAGAATTTTCTTATTTTCTAGAAGTGATTTGCTGCCTCTTGGCTTACTAGAACCATCATATATTATTATACTTTCTTATGTGTTCTAGTGATTTGAATAAAACTTATAAGATCAGGATCATATATCTTACATATTTTTGTGTCTTTCATGTTATACTAATGAGAGGCTTAATATTTGTCGAATGGATGGGTAAAGCCATCGAATTCTAGTTTATAGTTGCTTTGGGCAGCATTTATGACTAAGCTAGAAATCAAGCCTTTAGTTTGCTGATTCAACCTGTAATCAGAATGTATCCCTTCATTATGAACACTTCAGCAGTGCTTAGTGGTGGTTCTCAGCCTTTTCCTGTGAAGTGCATGTTAGTTGCAGCGTGAAAGGAGATGAAAGCCTGTCACCGGAGGGCTGGAGAATAGCTTATAGTATCTAGCAAGGAGACTTCCTTAAAGTCCCGGATTTTATTGTAAAAATTTATGCATGTTTTGCATCCTACTCCATAATATATCTGGGCCTCTTTTACTATAGAACTGTTTTAAATTGCTTTCTTTGCTCTTCAAAAGGTAGAACTTCGTTATGTTTAATATTGATTCTCCAATGCCTAAAACAGCCCAACATATAAAAACTATACCGTGATTATTTAAGAAATGAATTTTAGCAAAAGTGATATTTCAGGAGAAAGTTGATTAGTGGTTGCCAGGAGTTAGAAGGAACAAATGCTGATGGGTACAGGGTTTCTTTTTTGGATAATAAAACTTTGCTGAAATTAGATAGTGGTGATCATTGTACAACCTTCTGAATATACGAAAAATTACTAACTAGTATATTTTATTTTTATTTATTTATTTTTGCAGTTTTTGGCTGGGGCTGGGTTTGAACCCACCATATGGGGCTGGAGCCCTACTCCTTTGAGCCACAGGTGCCGCCCCTAACTATTATATTTTAAAAGGATGAATTTTATAGTATGTGAATTATGTCTCAATTTTTTAATAGAAAAAATAGGGAAATAAGAAATAAAGCTGAAGTAAAAATAGGGAAAGAAGAAATAAAGCAACCCAAGTGCCCATCATCCATATGTCTTGTATATGATGATGTACGTTGATATACATACCTCCTCCTCTGGCTTTCTCTGTTATTTAAGACTGTTGTGACTAGGCAGTCTCCCAAGCAGGAGCATTCCCTGACCTTCACGAGCCTTCCACAGACCTAAGGAAGAATCAGGAGAAGGCCTGGGCAGCTACTATACATGTGTCCCCCAGGCGGACCCTCTCTCTCATTAGGATTAGTGTATCCAAATGCTTGTTGATACTTGTGCTTAGAGATCTTACATATATCCCAACTTTAAGTTATTCGGAATGAAATTCTTTTTTTTTTTTTTTTTAGAGACAGAGTTTCACTTTGTTGCCCTGGGTAGAGTAACATGGCATCCCTGTTCACAGCAACCTCCAACTCTTGGGCTTAGGTGATTCTCTTGCCTCAGCCTCCCGAGTAGCTAGGACTACAAGCACCCGCCACAATGCCCAGCTATTTTTAGAGATGGGTTCTTGATTTAGCTCAGACTAGTCTCGAACCCATGAGCTCAGGCAGTCCACCCGCCTTGGCCTCCCAGAATGCTGGGATTACGGGCATGAGCCCGGCCCTGCCCCCTACCCCATCCCCCGCCCCGCCCCACCCTACCCTGTTCTTATAGAAGTTTTATAGACTGAAAGATAGACTTCTCTGTATCTTCCCTCCCCATTGCCAAGTGAGCTACCCAAACATCAGGGCTTGATTCTATTCACATGGGTGAAGAATCCTACCTTTGGACAAGGGCTGGAAGCTGTTGGATAGTACCTGGACATTCCTTAGAAGTGCGTTTGATAGAGAATAAAGGGAGTAGAAAACACTTTGTTCTGAGTGTTTTGTTATTCTGCACTTCTTTTTTTTTTTTT